TGGACCTTGATGGTCGATTTTGTGATTTACCCCTGCTGTTCAACTTTTAATCTGATTCGTTATTTTTCCTCAGGCATGCCGTTCAGCTGTTATCACCTGCTAGCATAGTTGCTAAAATGAACGGTCGTGATAGTATTTGCAAGGTAAAGACCATATTCTGATGATTGATCTTGCTCCAAGGATACTATAAATGATTATTAGGAGAAAAAAGCTTAAATAATAATAATAATATTAATATTTTTTTATTGCAGGCGGATCTTGAAGAAGTGAGTTCTCTGTATCTTGATGCCAAATCATCTGCAAAGCTTCTTCAGGAACAGCAAGATAGATACATATCGTAGACAGAAAATTTGGCTCGAACGATATTTCAGTTGATTGATCCCTTGAGATGTGAACAGTCGGGTTTTAAAATCTTTCCTTTTCCTAAAGGATTGTGTGATGCAAGACATGCAACTGGTATGATTCACTCGTCTCCAGTATTCGTTTACCGTTTGCATATTTTCGTATGCGCTGTTTTGTCATTTGTGGATCTTTTTTTGGACTAAGGCACATTAATAGGGTGTTGATTATAGGGTGTTGTTATGGAAAAGGGTGTTGTTTATGGAAAAGGCAATGTAGTTATGGAAATTTCAATATTAGAATTTCATATTTTAAGAGTTTTAGTAAAATTAAAATATTGTAACTCGTTCTTATTTCAAATAAAGTAATATAAATTTAATACCTAATTTTTAATTATTTATTTATTTTTATTTTTTTTGAAAAAATTGCAAGTCATTCTTATTTAAAATAATTGCTTTCGTATTTCTTTAGGCTGTCAAGTATTTTTTTTTCAAAACCAAACAATCTCATTTTACTTTTTTTTTTAACGAGCAATGTTTGTTGAAATTCGTTATTTTTTTAAATGCCTTCATTTCATATTTTAATTAACGTATAAAACTCCATTCATTATTTTAAATTTACTATTCTTATATTTCATAGTTTTTTATTAATTACCTTTTTTAATAATAATAATAATAAATGTGAGTAAAATTCGACAAGAAAAATAGTAAGTTTTCACAAACAAATTTTTTGCTAGTCTAATATTAATATCAATAAATTTTTAATTTTCACATATATATAGAAAGAAACTGAAAAACACAACTAATATGTTCGAAAAAAGAAATAAGGAAACCTTTGTTGTTGTGAAAACATTAAATTAAGAGTATGGAAAGAAAATTGAAAAATTAAAAAAGAAAAAGGCAAAAAAATTGAAAGTGGTTTAATGTGGTGGGCCCCTATAAATCACACTTTCTTATTTGCTTTTTTGTTGGTTTAAATAAAATTAAAATACACAGCTTTGAGAATGCAAAGTTGGGTTACAAACGCCACTCTCAAACCTCTACTCTTTAAAACTGAAAAGCTCAGCTTTACATTTTCAAACCTAGCAAAACGCTGCCACTAAAGTTATTTGACTAACTATTATGACGTGGACAGGGGAAAAGTAGGAGAGAGAGTAGTCACTAGCGACGAACAAATAGCTTATCTATTTCACGTAGCCCAAGATCATGTGAGAGGAGTACATGGGTTCAATAGTGTAAAATAGTTATTTTTTTTATCTCTCACATCCACGTCAGCTGACCATATAACTAGTAATAACTACTACCATTAGGGATGTCCTAATAAAAATTCAAAATCACACTCAAACTTATTTCAGTCAACATTTTTTAAAATTAACTCAAATTTAATTACAACCGAAATAACTTTTATCCAATCATCCCTCAATGTTTGATCATACTAACACCTTTATAGATATGTAAAAATTCATCAAGGAAAAAAAAAAAAAAAAAAA